AATACTGTCTTCTGTGAGGACCAAAAGAAGCATTGGTTTTTGTAACAGTTTGTCTCTTCATTGTAAAACTGTGTTGCATCACTTAAAAATGAGTCCCACAGAACCTTGAGAAAAAGAAAAGTGAGTAACTTTGGTTCATTTCCATGTAGATGTTTTATGCTAGAAGGGTATTTACTGCAGGAAAACACTAGGAGAAAGCTCAATTCATTCAACCAATGACTCATAAGAAACCTTCATCCCTTACATGCTAACATCTCTCCTGGATTCCTTCGTACATTTTTACTTCTGAGGTAATTTAAAGCATAGACAACAGTGGCAATATTAGTGTAAACAGCAAAAGCAATGGTCTTTATCCATATTCTCTCGTTCCTTCTTCCCCGTGTGTGTTTTCATTGTGCTCTTTCAACTCAGACTTGTATTGAATGTAAGCTGCAGGCACTCTGCCTGACCCCTGTGTTTCTCTTCAAAACCAGGACATCTTCTGTGTAATCAGGAAATAAGACTCAGTACAGACACTGTGCTCTCTAATCTGCAGTCACATGCAGAGCTCACTGGTTGTCCTAGAAATGCCCTTTGCAAGGTTGAGGGTTGGTTCCCAGGCCAGAGCCACGAATTGTATTTAGCCATCAGTGTGCAGTTTATGATCATTAGAGCTTATTTAGATTGGAGCAAAGTGCTGTTTGCTTGTACTTACTTGGGGGAAAGGTCATTTCTTAGATTTGATTCACATCCAGCAGCAGAATATCAGTTATGTTTTATTTTTTATTTTTTTGAGACATTCGCATTTGAGACACTGGCAGATATCCTACTAATGAGTCTGAGCTGTTTCCTTGGAGGTAAGCAGATGGAGGCAGGGCATTTACCTCACAGTGCCCCAGAGGAACCAACTTCTGCCACAGAGCTCCTGGCACCTCCATTGTAGTCGGTGTTCAGTGCATCATTCTGGAATTACACAGAATCAAGTGCAATGAAACAGATTAAATGACTCCATCCAAACCTTCTACAGCACACACAACCTTCATTAGCAATCTGGATGAGAGAGCGTATTTAGCTTATAAGCTCATTTTATAAACAAATGGTGTTACTGTTTACTAGGTAAATAAATGATGTTGTGTTCAGTATGCCATGGTGTCTCATTATACAAACTTGTGTATGAATAGATCTTGTATTTGTATATGAAAGGGTTTCTGTGCCAAAAAGGGAAACCCTGCCTAAATTCCACCTTAAATACAGCCTTTAAACCTCTTGTCAGGGAGAGAATGGGAACTATTTACGGCTTTCTACAAAAACTTAAACACAAAGCAGCAGGTTACAGGCGCCTTTGCATGGCAGAACGTGTTTGCACAAGACCTTTCCATGGCAGCCCCTGACAGGCTGCTACACAGACAGGGCCTAGGTGTGATGGCCACACTTTGTTTCTTCTTCTGCTCCTCCCCAAGTCTTTAACTTTGAGTTGGTCCTCCCCCACCTCCGTTATTTTTCTGTGCACCTTTCTTTCTTCCTTCTTCAGAGAGGGTTACTTAAAAATAACCCCACCCTTTGGGGAAATGAGCACATCTTTCCCAAAGGAGAACTCTCATTTATAGCTGTGGGTGTGTCCCAGGACACACAGGCCTCTCTGCGAAGGAGCCCAGGGACTCTGCTCAGCAGCGCTTGCATACAGAAAAAAACTAGACCTGTAAATGGAAAGCCCTCTCACCTCAAATGTCAGGGAGAGAATCATTTGCTTCAAATGGCCCTAGATCATTGAGCCATGACAGTGTCGAGTGGGAAGCGTATATAGCATGGATGAGCAGGCACCACACACACAAAGTTTGAACTGTTTTCCCTTGGAGATCGTCTTTAATTCAGTTACCATAAAAATGGCCTCAGTGGTCCTGAACTACCACAAGCATGAAATGAGAGATAGATTGGTCTTGAAGTTCAGCTGGTTTAGAAGAAACAGAGTAAAACTCCAAAGGCTTTCAAACATGTCTAAGTAAAGCCTGTAGCAGGATCTTTTCAGAAGGCTCTTGTCCACACAGGTGCAATGAAATGCCTCTTCTTTCTGTGTGACTGGGGAGTTACCCTGAAGAAGAGCTGCATGTGTGACAACCAAGTAATAGAGCAGGGCACGTTGCCAAGCTCCACTGGTGATAGGACACTTGCTGCAGATGTTGGCTGTGGGTCTGCAGTGGCCTGGGACTGTGGGGAGAGGCTGGGAACATGCTGTCTGTCCTAGATGCTATCCTTTGGCCAGACTTTGCTTTGTTCCTGGGCTTCCTCCTGGGCAGCTGAGGGCAGCAGCCCATCCTAAGACATCTTTGGATCCAAAAGCTGAGCCAGGCTTTGAGAAGTTCTTGCTATTTTTGTTGTGTTTATGTGTGTTTTTCAAACTCTGACTGAAATCCTTTACCCACTGTCCACAGGAGACCATCAAGAGGCTCTGTGTCCTGCCCACACCCCAGATTTAAAACAGTTCAGGGGGACAGCTTCTTACTATTTAAAAAGCTGAGAACAGAGTGTCAATAGAAAAGGATAAATCTTTCTCCTGCTGACCAAGAAGGTTCTTTATGTGAACTTTTAAAATTAGTCTGTGGCTCAGAAATATGAACAAGCGATTCCTGTCAGCAGAGCAGAAAACAAAGAAATCCTTCTGCCAAAGTGGTAGAAGCATGCACTGCTTTTTTGTTTGTTTTTGTTTTTTGAAATGGAGTTCTTTGTAATTCAGGAGAGTCCAAATGTACAATCCTCTTGTCTCAGCCACCAGAGCAATAGCATACAGACACACCCCCTCATACACCCCCATGCATTGTATTTTTCAAATGTCTTTCTTTGAGTTCCCTGTGGGGAGAGGCTGTTGTCTTGGCTTCTGTATCCTCTCAGAGACTTCAGCTTGGTGTCCTGTGTGGAGAAGGTGTAAATGGAAGTTTTCTAGTGTCTCGCCCAGCCTGCAGCAGCTTATAATCACTCAGAGGCTTAATATTAATTACAAACTATTTGGTCTATGGCTCAGGCTTCTTGCTAGCTAGCTAGCTCTTACAACTTAACTCAACCCATTCCTATTAATCTGTGTTTTGCCACGTGGCTTCGTGGCATTACCTGTTCTCTCACATCTTGCTTCTCCTAGAGGCGGCTTGGAGTGTCTCCCCGACTCTGCCTTTCTTCTCTCTGTCTCTCTTGGATTTCCCACCTGGCTCCATCCTGCCCTGCCATAGGCCAATGCAGCTTTATTTATTAACCAATGGGAGCAACACATTCACAGCATACAGAAAGACATCCCACAGCAGAGAAGGTACTCAGGCCCTCCTAGCTGCTAGAAAGACATTCTGTAAGGATTGGAACTTGACTTGTGTTAAGTTTATAAGGGAGTTATTTCATAAGTCAGGGTAGAGAGAAGCAAAATCAGCTGTGAGTTTATGGGTAGGTTTGTTTTTTTATCTTAGTTTGGAAGGATGGCCTGGTACTGTCATTTCTTTGGTACCTGCTTGCTTCAGTGGAAGCTGAGACTAATGCAGTAAGCCAGGCAGTTTATCTGCCACCTGTGCTCCAAAGATAGGTGGTAACTCCTCATTTTCTTGCCATTTTTAATTCTTTCTGTGACCACAGCACAAAGCACTGGGTAGGTTTCTGTTTGTGGATTGAGCCTCCCTCTGGTCACTAGAACTACCATTGTCATTCTTGCAAAGGTTGGGAACAGAAATCTACTTCAGTTCCTTTTAGTGTGGCCTCCTGTCATGATAGACATGACGTATCTGCTGGGAATGTCCTGAGAAGGGGAAGGGAAAGAAAGATTGTGTTCCTACCCTAGTAAGGCAGTGTCTGAAGGGCAGACTGTTAGAAGTTCACCCAGCTTCCCCTTTCCCAGCCTGCAGTAAGGACCTGACCAACCTCATCAGGAAGAGATGGGTGTTTGAACATGAGGATGAAGCGTTTAACTAATTATTCTTTATCGATAAAAAATCGAGAGTCAGATATTAGGATAAGAACCTGAATCAGTCACCTCCTACCTCTTCAGTTCCTTCCTCCAAAAAAGCTGAGATCCTTTCTCAGGCCCACCTTACTACTCCCTGTCTTCTGTCTGTTCACAGTCCTCCAAACGTCTATGGTTAATTTTGGTCAGCTAGTGGCTAGCTCCGCCCTCTGACTCAAAGCAAGCTTTATTGTCAGAATGAAGATATAACACATTTCCCCCTTTTTGTCTAAATAAAAAGGGAAGGTTTTAACCAGCATACTATATACAATATATACAGAATTACCCTTTTAACCTCTTATTCCTATATCATACCCACCCCCTTTTCAGGAAAACTCAGTAGGCTTTAAGGAGAGATATGATCCATTTCACCCTACCTCTGCTAAGATAATAGCCAAGATGCCAGCTTTGAATGAGATTCCTTTAAAAACAAAATGAAGACTTGTAGGCACAGCACTTGTAGTGCAGCAAGTACAAAGGAGACAGCAAGATGTGACAGGATCCCAGCCCCCTCCTCCTGCACCCAGGCTTGGCCACACTGGCAGTCAAGAACAGGGAACCACAAGGGAGCCTTTTCCCACTGACTAGATGACCTGTCATCGCTCTAAGTCAGGAAGGAGTAGAATGAGACTATGCTATTTTCAGAGTCGTCTATTTGCAGGAAAAGCCTAGATATGATCCATGAGTCCTTGCCCACCCCACTCTCAGTTCTTAAAAAGAGTCAGGGGCTACAGGAAATGAGAAAAGGGCCAAGTTATCTCAATTGTTTGCTTCTTTGATGTACTTACAGGAAATTTAATTCTCGTCTTTCACTGTTTTTGGGATGGGGGTGTCTAGAAAGCAGTGCCCTGACTTCATGCATGTTGCTATTGACAATGAGTAGAAACTGAGACTTGTCTTAAACAATTGACTCTCCTTAAACAAAAGTAGTTGAGCTAAAGATAGAATTTGAGCCCAGGAAACTTGTGTGGGTAGGTTTGCAAAGATGTTGGCACCAAGGAGATTTTGAGAAGGAGCCATGATGCAGTGTTTCTTTCTGTCTCTGCAGTATGCTACCACAGGCTGTTCCCTGACTCTCCACCATACAGAGAAACCAGAGCATGAAGACATCTGTGAATACCGTCCCTATTCCTGCCCCTGTCCTGGTGCCTCCTGCAAGTGGCAGGGGTCCCTGGAAGCTGTGATGTCCCATCTCATGCATGCCCACAAGAGTATCACCACCCTTCAGGGAGAGGACATAGTCTTTCTAGCTACAGACATTAACCTGCCAGGGGCTGTGGACTGGGTGATGATGCAGTCCTGTTTTGGTCACCACTTCATGCTGGTACTTGAGAAACAAGAGAAGTACGAAGGTCACCAGCAGTTCTTTGCCATCGTCCTGCTCATCGGCACCCGCAAGCAAGCTGAGAACTTTGCCTACAGACTGGAATTGAATGGGAACCGGCGGAGACTGACCTGGGAAGCCACACCCCGGTCCATTCACGATGGTGTGGCCGCAGCCATCATGAACAGCGACTGCCTCGTTTTTGACACAGCCATAGCACATCTCTTTGCAGATAATGGGAACCTTGGGATCAATGTAACAATTTCTACATGCTGTCAGTGAGGTTCCAGGAGGCTTTCATAAACCTGAGAAGTTATTTGGGCATAGCGCTCTGTTTAATAAAGTTTTTTTTAATAGATGTTTTATTCGGTATGTCTTCCCAAGTCAAGACCCACAACTGTCGTATGTTTTGTCTCTCCGACAGCTTCCTGTCTGGCACTGATGAAACAAAGTTCACTGGACTGTGATAATGGGGTTGGCCTGTTAGCGATTTGGAGGCTGTTCTTTGATCTCCAATCCACTCTGTTCTGTTTACTTCCTGAACAGCTCTTGACAGATTGCTCAGGGCTGCTCCCACCAACTCATCCTGAGCTAACAGAAGCACAGGGCCTTTCGTGAGATTCCTTTTCTTTTGGGGAGGTAGGATTTGCTTTGCTGTCTTTCAGACTGGGTGGCTGACCAGTTTTCACAGAATCACCTGTGGCACTCATCTCCAGCACAGATTTAGAGAATCCATAAAGGTGACTCTCATCTTGTCAGAGTTTGAGGATTGCCTACGTGAATTGTGGGGAAGGGTCCAGGATCTGAAGGTGCTTACTGTAAAGCTGATACTCTGCTCATACTGTTGGTCTCTGTTTGCTCCCACAGCCTGTGCACACACCACATCGAAACCAGAACTCTAGATCCCCGTGGACGCACGTCTGAAGCTTGGTTGCTCTCATGCCTTGAGTTGAGAGTTCTCACATAGTTAGTTCTAGCTCACCATAGTGTGGATGACCTGTTTACACATGGCTTCCCCGGGAAGCCCTCCTTGACTACCGGTAGCTGATGTGAAAGACTAGAGCAGTAGTTGGGAAAGCTTTATAACCAGTCTCACGTGCTTGCTATTTAAAGGCATGTGTCAGTTGTGTGGGTTTGGGTTTTTTTGTTGTTTTATTTTTGCCTTTTTTTTCCACACTCTAATTTTTTAATAAAATTTTTTCAAAAAATGAATGCTGTGCTTCATTTTCCTGCTTGAGTCAGAGGCATTTATTGAGCATCTACTGTGTACAGATGCAAAGAAGCCTCCACCACTACCTCTAGAGCTGGTGCCTGCAGCATGCCCCTGAGAGCAAAGTCTCTTGTCCAAGGCTGGGGACAGCCCTTGTGTCTAAACCCCTGTCTGTGCTCTCAGTGGTCAGTAGTAGTGCAGGTCACATTTCCAGGACTCTGTTTGCTGTGTGACTGCCAGCTGTCATGTGAGAAAATACTCCCCCCATTTTCCAAAATCAGAGAAGAGGCATGGTTAGTGTTAAGGCCCAAAACCTCGAGGTCCATCCATGGTGCCACACTCTCGTTGTCCAAGCCCTAAGTCACAAAAGAGTTCAAATTAGCCGTGAACTTGGTTACAGAATTTAGTGTCACCTCAATAACGTGATTCAGCTAACATAGCGGGCGGCAGTTGGAAGTGATAACTTTGTTCTCTAAGAAAGACAAAGTGTTAAGCTTGTATGTAACCGTTCTGGCAGGTAAGGAGTGCTGTGCCGACCAGCTTTGTGCCAACTTGACACAAGCTGTAGTCATTTTAAGAGCGGGAACTTCAGTTGTGAAAATTCACCCACCACATTTGCCTGTGGGCAGTTTTCTTTATTGATTGGGATTGATAAGGGAGGGTCCAGCTCACTGTAGCAGTTCCACCCCTGGGCCAGTGCTTCGGGGTGGTATAACAAAGGAGGCTGAGCAAGCCAGTGAGCAGCACTCCTTCATGACCTCATTATCAGCCCCATCTCCAGGTTTCTTCCGTGCTTGAATTCCTGCCCTGACTTCCTTTGGTGATGGACTCTGACGTGGAAGCATAGGCAAGATAAACCCTTTACTGCGCAAGACGCTTCTGGGTGTGGTGTTTATCAAAACCATAGAAACCCTAACTGAACAATTGCTAAGGTAAACTCTAGGCTGTTTTTCAAATGAAGAGAAAGAACTGTCATGTACAGAAGTAGGTACTCACAAATTCAAGTGAAGGGAAAAAACTGTTGGTACTAACTGCATCCCTTCTCACACTGGTGGAAGTGAGCCAGTGTCCAGGAGCAGTGAGGGGACCACGACACGACAACCCATGCACTCCTGTCCGGTCCCATCCCATCGTACCCAGGCAGCCTGAGTATAAATGGGCTGAACCTGTCCGCTTTGCTGCTTGTCTAACCCATCTTGCTACGCCTGAAATCAGGACTCAGTGGCCAACAGTGCAGGAAAAGAGGAAGCTACCAGCAAGACCTGGAAGGAAGAGCTGGGAGAAACACAGCATTTTAGAAGCCCTGACTCAGGTTTGCAAAGAGGGGGAAGGGGGAGCCAGTGGAGTGGCTAGTGACAGGAGTGGCCCTGGAGTTCAGGTGCCTTTCTCCCCAAGCTCCCTCGGGTAGGACTTAAAGGACCAACTGCAGCCAGCAAAACTGAGCTCTTCCAGTTAGAAGGCCCCGTAACCTGGCTGGAGATCACCAGTCATGACCTTTACTCTCTGGCTTTTCTGAAACTTATTTTATGACAGGGGGAAAAAAAAAAAGCTGAGAATCCCCAGATTGTAAAATTCAAGAGGAAGTGAAATCAGCAAAAAGACGTAAGCCAAAATTGGTTCTTAAGTAATTTCAGCTGCCAGGGCAGTTTAAACAGCATAACGAATAATTGTCATCAAGTGATCTGTTTGTCATATTTTTTAATGTAAGATTTGTTTTTCCTTTGTCCTGTTTCTTGACTACACTCTGGCTGATTGGACAATGGTGGGTCGAGCCTGTGCACAGGACGCTCTCATCCATTTATAGAAAGTTTCTCAAAGGACTATGGAAGAACATAGTCATTCTTTGAAGGAAAAAACAAAAACCCAGCCCCGAGAATAGGAGTTCCCTCTCATCAGCATCATTGGTCTGTGTCTCTAAAATGTGAAGGTTTTAAGATTTAGAAGCTAGTTGCCCAGTAGGAATGACAGAAAACTGTAGAGAAACTCTGAGGCATCAGCTGTCTGGGATTCTCAAATACAACCTCAGGCTCAGCCATTATGTCCAGACTGAGGGCCAGGATTGTGGGAGCACCACACCACTCCCTTACAATAGCACGCTCAGAGAATCATCCCGAGGATATCGCCTCTGTACTAATTGCTTTCAGGTTCTTGGAACTTGCCATGTGACCCTAAATCAGCCTCTCAGTCCCAAGATTCCTAGCCAGCAATATTAGAAAAATGGTTTTGTCTTCTGTAGTACTAACTTCTGTGAGGATATTCAGCTTCAGAGGTAAAGCAGACAAACCATGCAGGCAGCCTCGGCTGGTGGTGCCTGAGGTACCTGGGAACCAGCTTTTGTCTGGGACAGGTGAGTCATGTTTCAGCTCCCTCTTGATTCCCATGAGTCAGAGCTGCAGGTGGTGCCTGGGCCCAGAGACCAGCTTTGCTTTGTAGTGTTGCTCGTAGATCCTGTGGCCTTGACCCCTGCTTGAACCATGAAGCCACCATTGACACTGTCTTTAAGCCACACCACACCACCTGCTGCTGATACTCACTTGAGGCTTAAAATGTACTTTCTGTGAATACTGTCCATTTGCCTTAAAAGTCTCCAAATGACAAAAAAGAACTGGGAGCCTGGATCTCCCTGCACAGGGGAAGGGGAAGCGATTTCGTGAGTGGACTATGGACAAGTGGGGATGGGAGCACAAGAGGTCAGGTTGGGCGGGATGGTAGAGGAGAGTACTGAAAGAGACTACTGGGGCCGGTGAAAACCTGGAATTCTCCCAGGAATCTACAAGGATGACTCCAGCTAAGACTCCTAGCAAGAGCAGATACATAGCCTGAACTCTCCTGTGACCAGGCAAGACTTCCAGTGCAGGGTGTAACCTTCCAACCAGGCCATGTAACCTTTGACCTACAGTCTGTCCAGACTATGGGTTGTGCTGGGGTAAGAGTGGCCAAGAGATTAAGGGAGTGGCCAACCAATGATTGGGCTAGTCTAAAACCTATGCCAGGAGAGTAAGCCCACTCCTGCCACTGCCTGGAGTACCAGGATCCACAGGCTAGATCACCCAGAGACATAGGATAGAACCAAACATGACTGGACAAAAAAAAAAGTCAATTTAATTGGCCCCCATAATCTCATAGGGAGTAGCACTATTAGGAGGTATGGCCTTGTTGGAGTAGATGTGGAGATGTGGTCTCGTTGGAGAAAATGTGTCACTGAGGGTGGGCTTTGAGGTCTTATTTGTTCTACCTTCACTCAGTATAACACTCAGTTGACTTCCTGTTGCCTGCAAGATGTAGAACTCTCAACACCAGCATTATGTCTGCCTGTAAGCCTCCATGTCCTGCCATGATGATAATGGATTGAACCTCTGCAACTGCAAGCCACCACCGCAATTAAATGTTTTCTTTGTAAGAGTTGCCGTGGTCATAGTGTCTCTTCACAGCAATAGAAATCCTAACTTAGATGGTAATGATGCCTAACGATATTCTGCTATACTCACAGATCAGTGCCTAGCCCAAATGTCATCGGAGAGGCTTCATCCAGCAGCTGATGGGAGCAGATGCAGAGACGCACAGTCAAACATTAGGCAGAGTTCAGTGAATCCTGCAGAAGAGGGAGAGAAAAGATTGTAGGACCCAGAGGGGTCACAGACACCACAAAAGAACAAATCCACAGAATCAACTCACCTGGTCTCATAGGAACTCACAGAGGCTGAACCAACAACCAGAGTGCCTATATGGGATGGACCTAGGCACTCTGCAAATATGTTACAGTTGCGTAGCTTGGTCCTCTTGTGGGACTCCTAACAGTGGGAGCAGGGGCTTCTCTGACTCTTTTACTGGCTTTCGAGACCCTACTCCTCACACTGGGTGACCTTGCCCAGCCTTAACACATGGAGAGGTGCTTAGTCTTGCAGCTACTTGATGTGTCACGTTTTGTTGACATCCATGGGAGACCTGCCCTTTCCTGAACAGAAACGGAGGAGGAGTGGATGGGGGGTGGGAATAGAGGAGGTGTGTAGGAGGAGGAGAGGACTAGAAGGATAAGAGGGAGGGGAAACTACAGCTGGGATGTAAAATAAGTAAAAAAAAAAAAAAACAACAAAACTTGGAGCCCATGGACACTGATGCCATCACCATTATTATCTCAAGAATGATTAAATTAAACATAATGTGTGGTGCTTCTTCCAGCCTCAAAGATTATACATTAGACCCTCTGAATAAGGTGGCTGGCCAAATGGAAGCTATGTGAGCCAGGGAAGGTAGCTGGCCAATGGAAGCCAGGGAAGGAGAGAACAGACTATCCCAAAGAGAGAAATAGAAAAAGCACTTCCAAATTCCAAAAAGGAAGTAAAAGATGCAAGCCAATGTCAGGCGTGGGTGGGGCCTGACAGAGGAATTGAACAGCTATAATTCCCCCGGGGTGGGGATGGGGGACAGAAGCCACTTCCAAGAGCTAAGCCACGGGAAAGCAGAGCAGTGAGTGCTGCCCTCCGGACAAACCCGTGCCCAGGACCCTCACCCGTCTAGAGAGGTCAGCTGTGAGTTTTGGAAAGACTGATTCCTCAACAGGTTGGGGAAAGAGAAATCTCATTTTGTCATACTATGTGACTCTAAAGATGGGTTTGTGAGTCTTGAGAAAATCTGTTCTTAAGAACTAAGCTACCCAGGGGGCCTAAGATCTGGACACCTCAAGTCAGGGAGCTGCGCTTTGGCCTGCCACAGCCCTGCGTGGTGCAGTTGTGGGAAGCAGGAAGGGCAGACACTGACCAGACACAAGGTGCAGGCAGCCTGAGACTAGCTTACACCAAAAAGGGTAAAGACCCCTGCCCTTGGTGGCCATCTGGGAACAGAGCTCAACTGATACTCTGGAACTGGGTAGCTTTGAACCTGAGACCAGCTGGGAGACAAACCTGGATTCTGGGGATTAGATGCAGGTCATCAAGCTTTTCCGGCTCATGCTTTTACCCAGCGAGCTGCCTCTTGGCCCTCTTTTTTTTAAACTTTGTAGTTT